AACTTTAGTTAAGTAATGTTTCTTATTCAAATACATATATATTTAATATCAGTCGTGGCTTTCAGGAGATCTGTAAGACAAATGGTAATCTAACACAAAACGAAATAAGGACAAGGCGTCTGTATACTGCATAATGGTTCTACATTTGAACCTACAGGTTACTGGAGTTTTGTTGGGCCTCAGCGAGTCGTAGTTTCTTGGCGTGGTTCTTGCCCTGGTAGTGGGCCTGTGCAACTGCCAGTGAACTGAAGGAGGCGTCACACAGCTTACAATAGTCATTCTCTGTGGCCAAGATGACCCGGGTCGCTCCCTTATACTGTGCCTGGGACAAAGCAGTGCAGTGTATGTGACGAGGGAGAAAGAGAAGAAATACATTTTTCGGACAGGTTGGAAGAAGAGAAGAATTTCAAGCAAAATCTCTTAATATTTTCAATGTAACAGACTGATTTCAGTTTCTTAAATCATGAAAGCAATAATACTAATTTAAAGTCAAAATTGTTTAATTATTAGTTAATGAAGATAATGTACTTGCATGTTATGTTGGTTAATTGGTTCAACTATATAGTAAATCCATAAACAACAATAACTACTTTATTTTGGAAACTTGGGAGAAGAAACCTGTTGCGATCACAAATTGCATATCGTCACTTTTCAAGCTAATTTTGCAAAGTGGTAAGAAAACAGTTGCTTTTCCCCATCTCCAGCAGTAAAGCAACGTTTATTGGAGTTGTTTTTCTGGTTGCCAAAATGCCATCCATCTCATAACACTGTAACATTTAGGTAGGTTGGCTCTAACCTGTCTGCCTGCGTCACTGTCGTTTGGTCCTGAGCTGAGGGATGTCTGGCCAGCCGCCTCGACGACCTCTGGTATCCTGGTGGCTGGAGGCTGCTGACTGCTAGCATAGAAATTCCTCAACTTCTTATTGTGGTTCTTTCCCTAGACGAAACGATAAGGAGAATGCTGTGTTTATTTATGTATCTTAATATTGATTTGGTTTGTACATTGTTATTTTAACAGACCTGGTAGTGCGCCTGCGCCTGCTGAGCAGAGTTGAGGGTCACGTTGCAGAGTTTACAGTACAGTGGTTTGCAGAGTTCCCCCAGTGAGTCGTCCTGCTCCTCCATCCCCAGCAGAGAGCCCTCATCCTGGGGCAGCTCGCTGGCTGGGGCTGCCTGACCCAGGAGAGGGCCAGGGAGGAGGCAGGACATCTGGGCTGGTCGTGGGGGCATTGGGGGCAGGTGTGAAGGGTCTGGGCCCATTGGAGGAGGGGAGCACATGGGGCTTGGAGGGAGGGAAAATCTTCCGGCTCCGGGTCCCACTACAGGTGGAGGCACCAGGGCCTGTGCAAGGTTTAAAGGTGGAGGCCCCAACGGTTGTATAAGGTCCATGTTTGGAGGCACGATTGTGTGTGTATGATCTATAGGTGGGGGACCCAAGGAGTGTGCCATTGGTGGAGGCCCCATTGGCTGTGTTGGGGCCATTGGAGGGGGGCCTAAGCTGTGTGGGGGGGCAATAAGGGGATGTCTTAACACGTGAGGAGGCAGGGGGCCAAGAGTCTGGGTAGGTAGCATAGTAGGAGGTCCAAGTGCCTGAGCAGGGGCAAGGGGTGGCGGGCCAAGAGTCTGTGTAGGCGCCATTGGTGGGGGTCTCAGCTGGTGCAGAGAGTCCATGTGGTGAAAAGGCTGCTGGGGGAGGCTGAAGAGACTCATAGGGGGCTTCAACATGGTCCCTGGTCCTGTGGACAACAACACATTATTTTACACAGGGGAAGATAACACAAATCAAATAAACTTCTCAAAAGGGAATGTAGTAACCTTGATGAGGAAAGTGGTGCTGTATGGACGTATAGTACTACTATTAAATACATTTAATTAACAGTAACAAGAACGTTTTTTATCATGCCATGTCAGTCGGTTGATCTAACACATCTCAACAACTATTACATTTTCTATTTATGGCCTACAGAGGATTAATCCAAAATGATCTAGTGCTACCGCCACCTCAAAATCCAGTTGAGAAACCCTAAATGAAAGATTGCCACAGACATTGCATTTTCCCAGATAATACTATTCAAATGTCTCTGTTAACCTACTGGCCCTTCCTCTGGCACCATGAAGTTGACATTTTGCTTTTGAGTGAAACCTCTTAGTAACTATAGGGTGGATTGCTATAAAGATTAGTTCCAGACATTCATATTTTCATCATAGTGAATTAAAATAACTTTGGTTCTGCACTGACTTTTCATCCAGCAATTTTCCCTTTCATTGGTTTATTGCCAAATTCCTGCAAAGGTAAAACCATTATCATGAGGCTCATGTGTTTAGTGTTAAATCAGAAATGTTAGCGTGCTTACAGTCTAAACTGAGATGATAAGCATGGTTAACAAGCTAGACACCGGTCTCATCTTTACACCAAAATACATTCAACTCTGTAAATATATTCTTTAAATGTCCTATTGGCGAACAGTAAAAAAACACAAGCTGAAGACATTATCACTTTCATATGAAAATATAAAGTGGATACTGCCTGTTGAACTTGGTTAAAATCCAGTGACCAATGTACAGTGACACTAATAGAAGGAGGATTTTCTTTCTTGGAGCCCGGAGCAGGAGAGATGTAAAGAGATGGGCGAATGGAAACACATTCCCGGACAGAGGAGCTTCACACTCTAGTAAGCATCAGAAAGAATAGGCTAAGCCTGCAGCGCCTGCAATCATGCATATGGGATGTTACGTACACATGCATTTGCACACACAACAAACGGAGACAGTGACATAAAAATCCCCAAGCTGCTCTGATCTGAAGAGATCTCAGCCCGAAGTGTGAATGCTCGATAAACTAAAGTAGGTCTCTCTCTGTCTGTGTGAGTGTACATCAAAGCATGGCATGCATGGTTGTGTATGGAAAACTAAGACAACGCATTATATTAAGAATGGCAATGAGCTGATTTTGTGTGTTTGTTGGGTCGCTCGAGTGTGCCATTGTGTGTGTGTGTGTGTGTGTGTGTGTGTGTGTGTGTGTGTGTGTGTGTGTGTGTGTGTGTGTGTGTGTGTGTGTGTGTGTGTGTGGGTGTGTGTGTGTGTCTGTGTTTCTCTTTGGCCACATATATTGTCAGTAAAAGGGCAAACAGCTGTGTCAAAACTCACAGTGCTGGAAGCTCAATGGTGGTGATTCATGGACTCAAAATAACATCCTGAGGTGTTTGTGTTTCCGAACTGCTGTTCGCTGTCAGTCTGCCTGTCCAGTCTGTCTGTCACCTAGCCTGACTTACCTCAGGAGAAAGGTATGCTGGACAAGCACTGACCCTACTACAGTCCTGTGAACTGCTAGATGACACTGGCAGATTCAGCAGGGCAGGATGAGTGGCCTATACATTAATAAAGTCATACTATACAGCAGCTGCATATAAATATATACATGTTTCACTACTCATTGGTATTCTAAGTATTGTCTTACAATATCCTGCTTAAAAAGCTTTTACATTTGTTATTTTTGGAAGTGTAATCTTAGTAGACATTATCTGCTACCGCAGGGAGTTGAAAGCTGATTTATCTGTAATAAACAGAAGAAGATGTGACACACCTGAAGTAGATTGCAGGAGCATCACAGCAATGACAGCTCGGATGCAAAACTGGTTTAAATGTTACTTTCATGTTAAATTCTAATAATTTGAATGTCTATTATAGCCATGGAAAATGTCAAAAGAATGCAATAGGCAATATAGAGTATACAATAGTACAGGTTTTAAGACGTGTGCGCTTATCATATTCATTTATGTTCGCAGTATTCATTGAATGAGACCCATACAGTATGTTGTTGAATTAGACACCCCCTCAATGCTCATGATTGCCATCGAGACCCAATTAAGTTCCACATACTGCACATCATCAACCTAATCAGCAGCAGCCTCATGAGAACCCTTCCACCCTGATTGAGCCCGCCTGCACAGCAGTCTAGAAACCTCACTGCAGAAGCAATTACACACACAAAGGGCGGCTGACCCTTTTTGCTTGATATCATCCGTTAAGCAATTCAGAGTGTGCAATGTGCCACCACAAAACAGATGACATGACTAACATACATTTACTGTATATCAGTAGTAATGTAAAGTATGCATGAGGATTTTGCTGTGAATCCTTTAACCAACACTTCCTCCCCACTTCTTTAACTCCTTGTGTTACTACCTTGCATGAAATTGCTTTGCATCATGATTTCATGTAGCAATTACCATACTAGATAAAAGATAAGCCAATGTCTCAGATCCAGATGCAGGTCCTCAAAAATTGCAGTCTACAGAGCACACATTTGAACAGCCACTGAATAGATAACCATGGCTTTGTCTGTTCATTTTGCTTTTGCTTTTTTGCATTTTAGTTTTTGGACAGGACACAATAAACTTTGTAAGTCAAAGTCAGTGTCATGTGTTGTTGCTCTGAAACAGCCAGCAGCAAGTGGTCAACTTTTTTTTTTTTATCAGACAGTATTGTTCATCATTGTTGTGGAGAGACTTTGTTCTAAAAGTTTCAGAAGAAGAAACCACAGTTTTCTTTTAGACTCATTACTTATTTATTAGTTCATGATTTCTTGAATTTGACTAAAGATTGCTTGCTTGTAGAACCACGCCAGAAAACAACTACTGTCCAAGTCTGATGGCCTCCACTGAGAATCTCTAAATGGGTCAAGTTTGCATTTTCTCTAGTTTCTCTTGCCTTACTATCTTGTGCCACATCAATTATGGAGCAATGACAATCACATGCCTCGTGCACTTATTCAATCTGCTTCACTGGGCATTGGACAACCGCAAATGCAGCAAAGATAGTGAATGTCTTATTAAAGTTTGCAATTGACTTTATGTACCATTACGGTAATGTCTATAGCCTTTACTTTTAGATCTCAGTAGCACTTTATGTTTGAATGAATGTCATAATAGTTAACATAAATTGTGTGGTACTGTATGCTCAAGACTTTTATTACCAGTCACCTAGCCTATGCATTAGGCTATAAATACTATATCGATTAGTAATCGTCCATTACCCCTTATATAAAGCAACACCTATTTTAGCCCATGACATGTTACTAGAGTCACACATTTACTTCATTATTTTTTCTGACAAGAAGTTGGCATTGGAACCAAACTTTGTATTTAATTAACAATAATATCAAAAATAGAAAAAGTCAACCAAATGCTAAATGTTCATAATTTACGTCAAGCAAACGTATATGATTATAACTTATGATGCAATACAAATTATGGTTTACCAAATTTGCCAAAAACGCCCATCTTGTCATTGCACCAGCCTTATTTTTGATTACCTATCGATTGCAACAACTTTCGCTAACTTCAATCTGAGACATGTAGTATATGCAATGAAGACGATTTAATGGCAGGAATATTTGCCTACCATGTCTATAAATCTGGAACATTTGAGTTACATGACCATGATGCTGGCTGCTGTTGGCAGCAACTGTGCAGGTGCAATGAAGAAACACTTGCTGTGTAATTGCCAAATGTCACCATCATCTGACTGCAGATCAAGCAGTGCAGTGAAGGCAGCAACAACGATTACAGTTTCCATTTCTTCACCTGCTCTGACCACCGCTTGATTGGCAACCATACCTGAGGGATGAAAGTGACCATTACACTCTATTCACTGTTTCAGATAACAGTCAGCTAAAACCTGGAGTCTCTCTGGAGCTCTTCGATGGATCATTAGAGTCCCGACAACCTGGGATTTTGCATCGCAGCATCTGTGCTCGATAGGCTATTCAGTAAGATGACGAGTTCACTCGTTTAGAGGACATTATGGTGATGACAGGCTGACAGCAGCACCAGGGCAACCGGTTAAACATCTGCAAATGTCTCTTTCCCTGCACATTACAGCGCATCAGATTGCTGACAGTCAGAGGGAAGCTACTGTATTGCAAGCTTCTCCTTACCTGGCAAACGGGCAAGATAATGCCTGCTGTCACCGTAGTTTACGGGAGGCGAAGTGTAATGTCTGCAATATTCCGCACTCTGGTAGTAAGCTGCATCCCCGTTCTTCAGCTGCAGCGCCATCATCGCAGTGACATCCCTCTGCCAACTTCTACTCAACCAAAAAACCGGGCGACCAGGCAAGAACCTATGGAAAGCCAACAGTGCCAAAATATGCCACTATCTGAACACGAATATACTTTTTTTCCGCGAGAGGTTTAAACCTTACTAATTTGGAATATCTCAGCGTAGCTCAAATGTTTCATATTGACAAAATAGTAAACAATACAAATGTCGGGCCAATAACAAAAGTCTACTTCTAGCTCTTTTTTTAAGCAAAAAATTAAAACAGTAGCCTACATTTTGTAACTAATGGTACACTTGAACAGAAAAAAAACAATCACGAAATAGAATTCCCCAAACAACTTTGGAATAAAGCCTTCAATAACTATCCAAAATGATTAAACGGGCTGACGTGGATATACTGCAGAATTTGAAAATTAACATATTGTAAATGAAAATTCAATACTCTAATTTCAGGAACTATAGAGTAAATATGTGAACCGCTCTATCGAAATCAGTTGGAAGTCGCGACGGCTCATTTCAAAATAAACGTGGATTTGTGTAAAAAAATAGTTCGGATTTTTTGTTGGATTTTAAACAAACAAAGTCTTGGCTTTCAGAATATGAAACTTTTATTTCCAAAATTACATGAAAAATACATTTCTGAAGATTGTAAAGGGAAGATGACAGCTCTCACTCGCCACTCTGCTGTTCCGCAGCGCTGCTTCCCCTCCCTCCGGCTGAAATTATGAAAGCAAGGCGTATAGTAATCATAGATAACACGGCAGGGTCCGTTACAGTATGTTTTCATCTGATTTCAATTAAACAAAGTCTTGGCTTTCAGAATATTAAACTTGTTTTGGCAAATTCAGATGATAAATACAACTTTGAAGCTTGTAACAACATAATTACAAGCGGAGAACGGAGTAACTTGACGTCACAGCAGGCATAACAACAGCCGGTGTTTCTCGTGAGTGTTTTCCCCGGGAAACAAACACAATAAACACAAACGCAAAATTACACAAACACACACACACACATATACACACACACACTCGCAAGCTTCCCCCAGAACAGCAATCCAAACGAAAATATCTTCCCTCAATAGTATTTTGATCATTTGCTCCGCAAATAATCAATCAGATCGATGGATTCCAGAGAAGAGGAAACTTTAAAGGCCTTTTGCTCAAAATGATGACTCTTTGACAGTCCTTATAGTGGTAGGAGAGGAGTGGGGTTATCTTTTGTAATTAAGCTGCAAGTCGACAAAGGTGATCAAATGCTGATGCTAATAAAGATCCGAGTCATATGATATTGATTGTCTGCCAATACCGAATCCTGATCCGATTCTTCTATTTCCCAGATAATACAGCAACAGGAAACTCATTTGTATGACACTGAAACATCTTTAAACGGTTAATACAAAAGGTAACATTTAACAGATCTGACTGGTGGTAGGCTAAAAGGCTGTTTCGTTGATCATTTAATTTTTCATTATATTATAAAGATCTGCTAAATTAGAGGATTCCAAAGCTGAGCTGGAAGGGGAAGTCACCACCTACAGGACTGCAAATCTAAACAATTATTTGGATAAACTATTAAACCAGGTATGTTCACAAAGTAAGTACATTTGTTTTTAAATTGCATGCAAATAATAATGTCAGTCTTTGATCAATTTTGCATTTTTACTTTCATCAGCAACTGCAACAAAAGAAACATACAAGAGAGCAGTGAAATGTGTAAACAATCAGCCCATCAAGATATACGCATATTAACTTATACTATTGTTGAAATGTTTTTGCTACCCTTTCTTTGTGTCTTATTCACATTCTGTAGAAGAACAATCTGAGACACCTGGACAGTGTGAGCCTGCACCCTGGGAAGGTATATATTATTATAGTGGAGCCTTTTTATTTTTGCTCCTCAGTCACATATTGGTGTCTACCTTTTATGTATAGGCTACTGTACACATTTTATGTTTCAGATTTTTGTCAGATTCACTTGCAAGGGAAGATTCCAGTGCGTCCAGAGGTCTGGGCAAAAATAGAAAAACAACACAAGGGACTCCATGTTTTTGAAGGAGTTGGCTGTGGCGTTTTGAGGCACCGAAACCTTAGGGGAAAGGAGCCTGACTGGATAGGAATGCCCCACCACCAAGACCACCAGGCAGCCTCTAACCCTGCAGAAGCTATCGGTTTTGAAAGGTATGTTCTTAGCAGCACTAGCCACTTGCTCTTTGTGAGATATCAAGTACTTGGTTATTTGAAATGTAATATTAATGATGTAATAATTAAAACTAGGGATGGGTACCGAGCCCCAGGGCTGAATTATTAAAGACCGTGGTACCGTTAAGGTCCAACGTTATCGATCTTTTTATCAGTACTGGAGACATTTAAAAAATAGAT